GCCTTATTTATGTCGTCTAAGGAGGCTTTGCAGACGGGAACTCCCTTTTCCAGAAAAGATAATGCCTCAACAGCAGCACGTTTAGGCTCCTTTATTCCCCTTAGTTTTTGACGCCAGCGTCGAACACTGTAAACAGAACCACCGCTCTTCCTGAATTCCAACCGCTGCTCTTTGGAATGAATTACTGCATCCTGGTCCTCTAACCATTTCTTCCCAAGTATGATCTGATGTGTACTGTGTGGTACTACATACAGCCACAATTTTTCAGTAACAAAGCCATCAAGGTCTATGGAGACCCAAGTGATACTTTTTACTATTGGCTTGTCTTGAGATGAATTTTCTGCTGTCTGAAGGGTTCGGGGAGAGATAGGTTTACATGGTAAACTTAGTAGGGCTGCTAATTCTTCATCAATGATACCTGAACACAGGCATCCATTGTCAATTAATGCTTGCACCATAGTGACGTCGTTAACTAATGCATTAACTAAAAATGGATTTGTATTCATCTTCGGTTCTTGTTCAGCTGCTGTCAAACTTTTTGAAAACTTTTTATCCAATATTATTGGCTGCACAAAATCTTTCCTTTCTTCTTGAATCGGTCTATCACTAGTAATGGCATTAATAAGGGGTGGCGATGTGTTCTTTCTCATTTCATGATCTGTAAGACAGCTCCCCATGACAGACCTCTTGGCTGACCAACCCATTGTTTCTCCTCGATCTCTTATTTGCTGAATTTCGATAGGACGGTTTATGAGTCTCGGAGAAATGCTATACGGATCCAATTCGTACACTGCCGGATCTATAGGACCTAGACCATCATCATACGGATCCACTTCGTAGACTGCCGGATCAATAGGACCTAGACCATCACCTTCCGGATCCAATTCGTACACTGCCGGATCAATAGGACCTAGACCATCATCATACGGATCCACTTCGTACACTGCTGGATCAATAGGACCTAGACCATCACCATACGGATCCTCTTTCATATTTTTTTTATAAATATGTAAACTTTTCTTAGTCTTTCGTGGATTAATTGCTGGAAGAAGGTGGCACACCCTAGATTGACATCCCCGTTTCTCACATCTGAAGCAGCTTCCTTCTTTCCGAAGCTTAGCTAGCTGATCTTCTGATTTCCATGTTGCCCTAAGAAAATTGTTTTCCTCCATAGAAATGTTGCAATGATCCCACTTCATCTTTGCAAAGTTGATTGACTGCAATTCTGACTGACTGATTGACTGCAATTCTGACTGACTGACTGACTGACTGACTGACTGACTGACTGACTGACTGACTGACTGCGATTCTGACTGACTGACTGCGATTCTGACTGCGATTCTGACTGACTGACTGACTGACTGACTGACTGACTGCGGTTCTGAAGTTTGTAGAGAGAATTATAATATGTCACGGTTTCATAACAAAATGCATGGGCAATCTTGTAGGTACAGTATATTAATTATAATTCTCTAGAGAGAGAATTCTAACAGCTAGTGACTACAAATATATATAATCCAGAATACTCCTCCTTCCATAGGATTCCCTCCATGACCAGAATTGTTTGGATTCTTCGACAACTTCCAAGAAGATTCTGGATTACACCATTGATCTCATTGCCTGCGCTAGCTAGCGTAGGCTACAGGGATAATTAGGCTTAACAGCCGTTACAATAATATGCGACTCCATAGTTCATTGCTCCAATCTAAATGTAATTGGACGAACTCCAATCTTTTCTGCTTGTTCACTGCGCTTAACGGAGGCTTCTTCCGAGCAATGCATCTGCTGTAACCTCTTTTTTTGAGTGCATTAGAAATTGGACGTTCACTGCATTCCCAGTGGCTGAAGGGCCCCATGGCTAGTTCCAAATAGCACATCTGTCGATTTTCAGGAGACTCCCGGACGAATACTTCAAGGTCATCAACTTGTTCCGCGCTTAATTTTGGTAAGGGTCCTTTGCGAGACATAGAATTCTCAGTCTCTCGAGCACACGCAAGTTGCACTTGCCTTCTTGTGAAGCTAAGTTTGTCGGATATATGTTGTAATGTCAAGCCAAGTCTTCTTAATGCTCTTATTTCAATACATTGATCGCGAGTTAGATGCTTGCGAACTTTAGTTTCTGAAGCAGACTTTTCGAGAGACATTGGTTGCTAGAAGTGAGGATGAATTGATAGTGGTGAGAAGTTTCAAAGACTGTGTAGGCTTGGCAGCCAAAAATGTCGTTGAAAATGTGTTTTACTAAGCGATTATTAGAAGAAGACAATTGGACCATACTTCATGGCGAGCGGGGTAAGGAGGAGAGACATACTAACCTATTACGAGCTAGCCCAACTGCACCTACAGGGCTAATCCCTTAAACATCCCAGTTTCGAGCGAAACGTTTCGAATCCTAGAGGCACTGTGTGTGACGGGCTTTGTCTGGATTGGGACTGGTCACTAGGACCACTCCGTCTTCAAGGGGTACGTACCAGATGGGGAAGTAGGATACAGGAGAAGAGTTGTGCCGAGAGAAAGGATGATTCTCGGGGGCCAAGGAAGAGAGCCGGGAGAAATGATTATTTCTCATATAGCTAAAGGGGGATATTAATACTAGCGTACGCAGAAGACATAAGGGGCAGGATACGATACAGTGGTTTAGCTTTCCTAAGGAAAAATTATTCATTCCATTGAGTTATTGACTTCAAGTACTTCTGACTTCTTTAAACCTTTTACACTGTGATGATGATCAGGGGCGTTAATAGGGTAGAATTAGATATTACAGTGCTTGTAGCACGGGGAACATTAATCAATTCATTCTTGTATTTGCTTTCATCTTTAGACAAATAACGTGACATTCACACGAAGATCTCTCTAAGTTTTACACGTTCAGTTTTAATGGGACTCTTCATTATCAAGTAGTGCCAATTTCAACACTTCACACCTTCTACCCTGCTCTCCTCGAAGAAATTCTGTTAGCCAGTCATTATACCAAGCAATAAAAATGTATTCAGTTATTTTCTGCTTCAGAAAAGAATGGGATGTAAATTTGTGTTGGAAATCGAGACACAGGTTGCTGTGGACGTACGGGCCCTCCATTTCGTCTAGGTTCCCGACACGATCTCGTGTGTATTTAAAAGGTTGGAGTAGGTAATATGGTAGCGCTTCAAGCTACCTACTGGACATATGAGCGGCTGTATGGCGTGGGCGCAAGGAGGTTATTGAGGGTTTTCTATGCCTAGATGGCGCCACACTCGTTTATGCTGTGGCTTAGGCTCTCTGTCGCTTACACTTGTACTTGTAGCGCACACTTTCCACAGTTTTAGCTGTAATCCGAACATGACACTCTTTTAGTCAACTTCAACTTTCGTTCCTTAACTATTGCGCCCATTTCATGGCGCGATAATTCCAACAATTTGTCATGTCTTGAAGCTGTCTTCTTTGCTGTTCCTCTTGCAAGTGAGTCAGCAAGTTCATTATCCTCAATCCCCACATGAGCTGGACACCAGATAATGCTCGACCTACTGCCTTTGACTAGATTCCGAATTTGGCATGAAAGGTTGTTTGTCTTGCCCTTTATTCTCCGAATACTTGCTTGGCTGTCACAAAAAATTTGATATTTTGCATTTGGCAGCTTTTTATCTAGGTACTTAACAGCTTTATAAATGCAGTAGGTTTCAGAGTCATTAATTCCAATGGAGCTTCCGAGATTAAAGGAGAAGCTTTTCAACTCTCTAGTGAAAAGTATGTAAATCACAAAGCCAATGCTGCTCACATTACTCTTGGTAAGAGATTCATCTGTGTAAGCAATGGCTATTTCCGGATCTAAGGTCTGCATGTGTTTCAAATGTTGCTCAAGAGTTGAAGTCTTAGTCAGGGATGAAATGTTTGTGACTAGAGGTGGTGAGTCCCAAGGTACCATCCATGCTGAATTTATTTGTTCTAGCTTCTGACACTAGGTGAATAATCTGAACCGAAAGTCCTAGTCCGTCACAAGGGCGTAAGTTTGATACGACATATATTCAAACCAAATTAATCCAATCCAATTCAATCAGTAAGTCATAAGAGAAGAATAATTGGTGATCTTGATTAAGGAAATTAAGGTGAGAATCTATCAATATAAGACGTGTATGTGACAAACATTTTCTACTTCCTAGACCCTCATAGTTCTGAATATCAAAATATCGGCAGCTCACCTTAATTTATCATTATTCATCCCTAAAACTTCAGGCAATCAATCCTTCGTAGGCTCTTACCTTTACAGCTTGAGCCTCACCCTCAAGCGTATCGAGGTTACAAATTTCCCACACTCTTTATGCTTTGGCTTTGAGCTTCCCTAGTTTCGGGCTACTGCTTACCCGAGAAATAATTCGATTCCTAGCCATTCTCAACCCATCAGAGCCGGACACCCTTGGTGGGTTCATCCAAAATAGTACACAATTTCAACTTCATATCAGAAGCAAGGGAAGTGATACGACTTTAGAGCCGCATATGTTGACTAGTGTCCGCTTACCTTGATGAATTGTTGAAGTCCCGGGCTAAAGACTCCTAATCCGTTATAAGTACAGGACCGAAGCAGCCAGCGAAAACTCCCCTCACAAGCCCAACTCATTTACACTAAATAAATTACCACTAATGTTAAATTGAATCGAATAGTATCGCTATGTGATGGGCTATTACCAAAACATTAAGAACAAAGTTAGCTGGCCGTAATACAGTCTATTTTCTAATTATCTAGGAAATATTATCTATCTAGGCTGTATGACAAACTGTACATATAGCTCTGGCCCAAGGGAGGTTGATATCCATGGGATCGGTGATCATCCGCATTCTTGAGGTGATCTATCGACGATTCGTATTTGTTGGATCGGCGATCACTTATAATACCACAAAAGAACATCGGCGATTAGTACATAGATAGGCACAAGTACATGGATATAAAGCGCAGCCTGTAACACGCTAGGAAGTCAACAATCCAAAAACTGATATTTTAAATTCCCGCTTAAATTACCTATCACCAAATATTAAAAAAAAAAGTCTCTTGTTTGTCCGTCTCTATCTGTGAAAGTTATATCCTCAAGAAATGGTTTTAATAAATCTGGATAAGGACATGGTTTGTAATATCTTAAAGTCGGAACTCTGGCACACCCATAATATAGTCCCAAAAATTTGTTTTCGTCAAAACCCATAGCAAATATAGTGCGATATCTTATTCCTAACCTGTTAGCATATTTTTCGATAACATATTATGTAATTTACTTTTTTTTAATCTATCAGGCGATAGTATAGGCCATAAAATCAATTTATCGTCTTGCCTGATGAGGGAGCCTCCTAGACCTATTGGCGAAGTAGTGCTCAATAGCCTATGGAATTGATTGAGATAATTTCGGAGGGTTGAAATCCTAAATTTAATATCTCTACAATGATATGTTTCACTGCTTTCTTGATTTTGGTTTTGAGGGCTCAACGATGGGATTGAACGGATTATGTCTACTGATGGCTTCGGAGTCCATACTTCCAAGCATGCAGGTCTTGGGAAGGCACCTCGGAACACTGGCTTAACTTGAATCAAACGGCATTGTAAAGAAAATTCCACATTGTAGATAGCTGCACGATCTGTAAAAAGTATGTCAGGGGTTGAAGAGAGTGTTTAAGCGTACAAGACGTACCCAATCGCCGAGAATTATAATCAATATTTGTGAAGTGTTTATACGAAAGCTTTTTATTTGACCAAGTAATGCCTTTTCGATCAAGGAATTGGAAGAACTCTTTACTAGTCGGTAAAAGATTTTCAAGTCCTTTGCATTTACTTTTCATTTCAGTCTCAACTGCTGCGCCTAGGAAATTCGAACCGCATACAAACCCTGAAGTTTTCTGTATTTTTCCCGTATTAAGTACAAGGCTTAGGTTTTCAAATGTCCAGAACGTCGTACATTTTTTATATGCGGGCACATCATGAGCTCCATTGTTCACATCAACCACAACACCAACAACGTTACCGACATCGTCCATGACGATGCGATCATGCCCAAGCCTCCCTGCAATACGAGTAAGCCTCAATCACAAGAAATGGGAAGAGAATTGTATGGCGTTACATACCACCATTACGGACATGCCCGAAGTTTCGGAACGGAACCACGAAAAGATTTTTATCCTCATTACCGAATAGTTTAGTATCCTCAAGCAATGCCGGATAAGCATAATAAGGATCTGCTGGTGTCAACAATTCGGAGGCGAGCCGCGCGACCTCTGTTGCTTTATCATGCCACACAGCAAGGTCATCACAGATGTATCCGCTTACATCGGATTGCAGTGATACCTTCAGTAACGTAGCGGCTGTGGAGAGGATAGCAATCAAATGTCTGAATTTTGCAGTTGATGATTTTGTTGAAGTCTGCATCTAGAATCACGCCTTGAATGTTTGGTGTGTTTTTTCACTTGTATTAATTGGGAAAAATCACAGCTGTTAGATGTCGAATTTGTTGACAACTATGGTGCCCACTTCTTAATCTGATACTGAGTGGATTATTAAGTCTTGAACTGCTGTGCAACAGATTCTACCTCGAACGAGATTTGCGATGACTTTGTGGCTACGACTACGAAAACCAATTTTCGGACATGCAATTCATGAAATTAATGATCGTAGCGCCCATCTAGATTGATGCACACAAATTAGTACCTGATCTGGACAAAGAATAGTTTTCTTTGCTTGGCTTTGGTCTTGAGTGTTCTGGGCCATCCTTCGCATTCCTTAAAATGCACATCATAGAGCCGATTCATGTCGTGGGTATTACCCCACACCAGTATAGATTTTCTGTGGGACTTTTTGGAAATTTATGTCAGCGATGAGATTCTGTATTCACTAATGTATCGGTTATAAATCTGTGGTTGCATTTCTAGACGGGCAGATTTCATTTACAGACGAATTTGTTTAGGAGCTGCTTCTGTTGTTCTGCAAATGTCATGGTTGCTCAGAATGAGTCTTCAAGGCACGATGATCCTTTGTGCCCTGAGTGGAGCAGCATCTTTGTCTCGAAATAATTGCTTCATCATAGACTCTTCGCACTAGTAATACAACTTCCAACCTAGCTTGAAATGCGGACATGAAGGGTTCGTTGTACCATTTTTATCCGGTATTCGATTTCCTTGGCCGTGCAGATCAAATTGACCTGAAATTCCAGTAATTAAAGTGCAGGATTTTAGATTTCAAGGTCGACGCACTACTCGTGTTACGAGAGGTCTTAGCCCCAGCAACTGGGATAGTAGATGACTACAATGAATCGATGACAAAGGCGCATCGATCTCGAATGAGCATACACTGCAACTGATAATATTTTGCATGGAAATTAACAGTTACTATGATCTGATTATCAACACCATAATGCCCAATGAGTACACTCCATCGATCATCGTTATGTAGACGATATGGGGCAGAGTACTCAACAATCCCATGTCCGTTTGTCATTGAAAAAGACGAGGTCTCTGTTATAAAATCGCTGTTCACATTAGCAATAAATTGACATTCCCTAAGTATAGCATGCAGAGCCAGACATATGGAAACAGGTTAGTGATAAGTTGGATACCACCGACCACTACACTCACCCATAGATTACCCCTAAAAGAGGCTGGCTACAGCACTATCTGGAAGTACGTGGGATTGGTTGATTATCATGTAAATAATCTGTAACATTACATAACTGTAACACAAAAAGATACCTTTCGCATCCCAGCACATCACTGCCATAATCACCCAAGTATCTTCAAAACCTCCGGAGTAGTCACAATTATTCAATTGAAGATACCAAGTGTATATGACCATATATACCTCCTCCCTTCAATAGTCGTTTTTTGATTGATAAATTGATTGCTGTTAAAATTTAATGCAGCAGATTGATTATTTTGTAGCAACTTAATTACGAAAGGATAGTCTTTTATCATTATAACATCTATGGTCTCACGATGCTCGCCTAATAAACTGATCTCTGGAGGGCAAGACTGAACACCTGTACGCGGTATCCTCTACGAACCTGGGAGTGAAATATTCTCCCGGAGCCAAGTTCGGTCAAATTTCGCAATATCAAAGAAGTTGGCCCCCAAGGCAAATTTTCAAATTACTCCACCATTTCAATCGTTCACTCCCAAAGAGTCCGATTCTCAACTAAGCTTCATCAAGTCTACAAGTACGACCTAGTACATCCTCGTTTCAATGATCACACCTCTCGTCGACCTTCTCTGGCCTCAGCCGATCACCAAATACACGCCCACGCCGATATTTATACCCGACGGAGGAAGCAAAGCGTGGAGCACAAATCTGGGAGATAGCTCTTTGGGATGGACGTGAGAGTGATCAGGACAAGTTTACAAGATGATGAAGAAGAGGGATACGTTTTCGACGGGCGTGAAATATCGAGTTTTGGCAAGAGTTTTACGAATTGAGCTTTGTGTGCGCCAAATCTTCGCTTGCGAGAGCGCAGCTGACACTATAAAAACAAGCAAACGATGGAAGGTGTTGTGGTCCGCCTCCTGGTGGTGTTCTCCGGTATAGTTTGAGTAGCCTGGGCACCTACTCCACTTGGGAAGGAGACATCTCAGATCATATTTCGCGCGGAGAAAAGTTGATGGATGACGGAGGCATGTCTGGATAACCCAGGGTTTTTGAGACGTTCCCCTGAGTGGGTATTCACGGATGAGGGTTGACTTGGGTTGAAGAAAAAGCTACCATAACTTCGCGGTGGTACTTGCAAATGAAATCCGAGGCATGAGTGCGCCTATTGTAAATTGAGTCATCTTTTTTGTACCTTTCTTTGATATTGTGTCATAGCTAGATAGCTGCATACGCAATTAAAATCTGATGCAAAAAAAAAACTAATCTCTACCTTAACGTGATGCTAATGACTTGGTCTTAAAATACCCACGTCAACAATCGCGAAGACTGTGAGCTAGTACGACATTAAATAATAATAAAAATAATCGCGAAGTCGCCTGGGAAAGTGGCTGTCCGATGGTGCCCAGGCCACTTATGTATTCTTTGGAACGAAGCAGCCGACGCGCTTACTAAAGCGGCCTGTGCGGCTCCAGCTCCACACTTAGAAGTCTCCATTGCGGGGGCAAGGAGAGAAGGCAAAGCACAATGCGAGGCTTCAGCTGCACTCCATTGAGCAGAAAATGCACTGTCTAGATACAAATAATTAGGTATTGGCCCCAATACTAAGATCACCATTGAGCTCGCTCGTCTAGGGCCACGCACACTAGTATATCTATTAGCTGCACATTCTGGACATGGCGCATTTGCAGACTACCACCGACGGCTTCAGCACGAAAACGCCATCCTTACCTGCTCATGCGGAGAAGAGAAGTGGCCCGACCACTTTTCTACTGCAACTTCGGGCAGTACCAAGCAGAGCTCTACAGGGTTCAGATCTTCAATGCCACCATATTTTGGACTTTAGCTACAGCGGAGGGAGTTCATGCATTTAATAGCTGGTCATATAATAAAAGCTAGAGAGCCTTGACGTGATGTATTTATTTTCCCTCTTTATCAATTTTATTTCTTTGCTTTGTGTTCTCCATGGAATGACATCTGCAAATCATGAGAGACGACGGGAGGCTGAAATCCATGTTGAATTAAATCTTCGAGCACAGGATAATAAGAGTGAGTGAGTGATGTTTATTGTACTACTTGAGTCTATGACTATCTAGCGCATTGGGCTTCTCTCTGACCCAGGCCACACCTTGTATAGTGCTCCTTGCCTCTTTTGTTACTTGAAAGATCATTGATATATTCCCCTTGATGAATAGCCATTCAGCTCAGTATTTACCCGTGGAATTCGGCCACCTTCCACGGAACCTTCTACCCAAAGAAATAAAAATGGTAGCAATGGAATCTGCAGCCCCAGCCAGGCGAGGCCTAGACAGCGGGAGCACACGACGTGCGCATATCCATCTGTATCTCCCTTCTTTCCAACATTGAAGGCCATCTTGATCCAATCCACCATCTTCGCAACGGGTGATGAGTAGGGCTTCGACCCTACCATCTAATCAAATTGTGGTTATCTTCATGATAATGGTGATGGGGGATGTGTTGAGAGATGAAGACGATACAGGCCGCGAAAGCGATTGGGAATCCTCGTGCAAGTGAGGACTTTGTTACTCAATCTCGGCTCTGCAGACTCTACAGTGAGAGCTGGAGGTTCGTAGGGGACACCACTGACAGGAGTTGAGAATGGTCCACCTCCTGTCGAGTATTATTATATTATTATTTCATTTCATTGTCCTGTCTGAGTCTATGACTGTGTAGGACATGCAGGTCCTCTCTGCCTGTAGGCCAAGGACACCTATGCCAGTAGTATATCCCCTCCTATGCCTCCCATTCAGCTCCTCATTCGATCATACACTTAGAGGAGCCCTTTGCCCTTAATCATCTCCCCTCTCCAGCCAATGAAACGATGGCCATTTTGTCACAGGGGCAACTGGTTAGGGCGTAATCACGTGAGAATTATGGCGTAACTCTAAGCGAGGATACTTAGGTTTAGATCTCTGCTTCTGGGTTAGTTCCGTTCCGCGTGCAACTACAATTATCTACTCTGAACATCCGAGTTTTTATACAACGCCAGCCCGTGTTATATTTGCCGGTGCATGACAGCCGGGAAAAATCGTAAAACCCACTGGATGCCGGACTCTTCTAGTACCGACATCCTCCTTACAATTCTTTCGACCTCGATCCGCATGTGATTAGACCGGCACCACTGGAGAGAAAAGAATTCGTCTTTGCCGGCGCCAAATCAGTATAATTGAGTGATATACACATATATGTTGATTGGCCTTGATTTACGCACACGGATGTTTAATTAAATGCAAAACGAAAGGTTCCAAGGTGGAGAGTGTGCTGTGTCTATCTTCTCTACCTCATAACATTGCGAACGTTGAGTAAGTGGTATTAGCAGAATCATCAAGGCAATGACTCAACGACGGAGAAATGCACTGTTATAAGCGCGTAGCAAATGTAAAAAGTTTCCAAAAATTCATCTATCTTTTACTTTTCTCTGCTACTATGTTAGATCTAAAAAGCTGCATTTGTGATTAGAAATTCGATGCAAAAAATAAACGGCGAGCTCTATAAAGTCATGTGACAAACTCTCTACCGACACTCTACGAACTACTTGACTCGTTGTATGACGATCATGTTACAATGAGCCACGCAGATTCCCCATTGTAGTTGAAACACTTTCAGTCCTGCATACTCTAACACTCAGGACAGCTTCTCAAGGCTGAGATATCCGGAAAATGCCACGTATTTTTTACGCTGGTGTACGTGGCTACGATGCTAGAGTAATAGTGAAAATAATGAGGGCTCTCCAGCAAAATTTTAACCCTCTAACCGTGCCCCACGCATCCCTGCCAAGATCATCTCATACACATGTTAATCACCCTTGGCTTAATGATGGAAAGTCTAGACATTCATAGACTCCGTTTTTGAGTCCACCAATATTGAAGGCGTTGCTCTAAATACTTAAAATCATCACATACTTTGTAAATCCCTCTAGAGTTACTTTTGACCGAAGCATAATACAAGCCGGTAAATCTATTCTCCACGTCAAAGCCTAGAGCAAACTGGGGATGCATACTCCGAGCTATGAGGTTAGCGTAAATCATGGAAATGGATGCTTTGACTTACCAGCACTTTGCCTTTCTGACAATCTCATATTAAAAAGGGTTAAATCCGGCGAAACTCTGACCACAAAATTCTCATTGATTGGGCCCCACGTATTACTTTCCAGACCTAGATATTCAAGAATGTAATTTTGAATAGTTTCTATTCTGAATGAATAGTCGTTACAAGCGTATTCTTCTTTGTCATATTCCATAGATTTGCCATGTTCATTTAACGACGGTTCATTGGTCATGGTTCCTGGTAATGCTGATGTGGTATATAAGGTTCTACATGGCTTTTCTGACGAATCTTTTTCGACCAATCGACTTAGTTGAATCAAGCTGCATTGCCACGTGAATTCTACTCGATATTTTACCAAATTTTCTGTGTTCAAGTTGTTAGGCAAACAGACGATCTGGTTCAAATGAATACACATACTTAAATTTTGACTATCATAATCTCTCCTTATGTTGTGTGTAAAACTAACTTTATTTTTTGAAAATACAACTCTTTTCTTATTTGAAATTTTCGACAGGTCACGAGACCTTACAAAGATATCAACAAATCTATTACATTGGCGTTTCATAGACTCTTGAACTGTATCGCCTATGAAATTCGCACCGCAAGCATACCCAGCCATTTTAATGGTCTTTTCCGTATGTAATTCCTGATTGTAGTTACTGTATGTTTGGAATGGTATGCATTTTGCATATGTCGGTGGAGAAGGATCAATTTCTCTTTTCAATAAAGCCACAACACTTATAAAATTTCCGAATTTATCGATGACAATTCGATCCATTCCGGACGATCCTAGCATAAAGGTTAGCAAAAGCGAGTACCGATGATGGGGAGCTTGAGTTGTAAAGCGTACCGCCTCTACCCAAGGATTCAAAGTTTCTGATGGGAACCACATAGAGATTTTGATACCCAACGTTGAATAGTTTAGTATCTTCAAATAGTGAAGGAAATTTCATGTAAGTTTTTGAATTCTCTACCAATATTTTGGCATGATTGACCACTTCTTGCACCTTTTGACGCCAAATAATTTGGTCATCACAAATATATCCGCTCACTGCAGACTGGGTTGCAAAATCCGTCAAGGTGGCTATTGTAAATAATATTTGGTGAAGGAGGCCAAATGTAATAGCTGTTAGGTTTATTATTGTCCGCATCTGGAACGAAGATCTAAGTTTGACGAAAAACTTTCAGTCTACTCTAGGAATGAAGGCAAAAACGGATATCCCAGAGGTAATGAATCTCTCCGTGAGGACTATCCTACCCATTACCAACTAATTTCATGTGCAATTTGCCAATAAATTAATCGCCGCTATGATCAGTCCAGAATAAATGCTACTTGGCGCCAACCTAGTCGCCATGATCCTAACATTAAAAAAACCAAAATACGATTCATGTAAACGACATTGTAAAATTCTTGGTGTGGTAATTGCACCGTTCGCGATATACTTTATGGCGATGAATTGGTAATGTAATAAGCATGGCCAAGGTTGGGATAATAGAATAGTGATAAATCTATACCAAAACCCGCTACGTTAGTCTATCAGTCGTAATGGTTGGATGGTGCGGTGGTACATCGTCTTGGCCGGTCTGCAAAGTAAGGTCTGGATAGCTTGGACACATATCCCACTTGGGACAGTAGAACGCTGGTTCAAATCCAGCAAAACACAACTACATTTCTCGCGGCGCTGGTGTACATGGATGACGAAGGCATGCTTGGATAACCTAAGGTTTTAATATTCCCTTTGGCGGATACTTACGGAGGAGGGTCGACTGTTTGTGTACGCGAACATACCTCACAGTGGTATTTGCGAATGAAATCCAGAGTATGAGTGTCTCCAACGTCAAAAGAGTCATCTAACATTTATACATAGCACCGGTTATATGTCATAGGTATCTACCTGCATTCACATTAAGTGATTTCTAAAAAAAAATTGGTCCGTAGAAAACTCCTAAAAGTGGCTAGCTATGGCGCTGCCCGCAAGAATGTGGATAGGTTAACTATTGAATCAATTTGAATTTCTCTAGTTTAAACGTCCTATGCAGTTTCTATATGCAGAATCATGAAGACGATAAGCCATGGTTAGAATGGAAAAAGCTCTTAAGCAATAAAACCTATAGTTCAGCCACGACGGCACAGCCCAGCTTGATACTGAGGTTGTCCCATTCTTCCATTCAAATTTGTTTCACCCCAAATATTAACTCCTCTATCGCCCTGATCCCTACTCAGCTGAAGTTTGAAAGATTCCTTTCACCATCCTTCTCTCCACTTTTCGATGACGGAATTGTTGGAACTGCCGGTGTTATAGCCCTTAATGTATTTAATACTGCCGTTGAGTCTGCGATAGCCTTTTGTGGACGTCCTGGTCCCCTCTTTCAGGGTTCAACCTTGCGATTAGTGACCAGTGTGAATCCTTGATCGTCAGTGGTCATAGATGCTGTCTGAGCAGCCATTACGGGACTGCTTTCCCTTCGAATTCCCGCCGTTCGTTCCAGAAGCTCGAAGCAGGCTTTCTGAACACTCCCCTTGTAGACTTGAAATGTCCGATATGACGCTCTCTGCCTCGAACGATGTTCCTTGCCACAGTTGACGCAAGAAACTCTTTTCCTAGGACAGTCCCGGGTTTGGTGAGAACCTGTGCACTCACCGCACCTAGCTGCCTTTCCGCATGACGCCTGCGTGTGTCCCCATATCAAACTGGGGATAGTTTGAAGGCGATTAATTTCAGATATAAAGTTTAAGGAGTTAGGTTTACAAAGCTTGGAGTTACTTGTTTCGGAAAAGGTGTTTCGCTTGGGCTGTAGCATTAAGAACTCTATCTGTTCTGACTAGAGATGTTTCGTTCCAAACCATGAGAAACTTGGTCTATGGGGACAAGTTGGGGACACATAGAGCATTTGCCATTTCCTAGACGTACATAATCTAGATAGTAGAGTGCAGCTGACACTGTAAAAACAAGCAAACGATGGAAGGTGTTGTGATCCGCCTCCTGGTGATGTTCTCTGGTATGGTTTGAGTAGCCTGGGCACCTACTCCACTTGGGAAGGAGACATCTCAGATTACATTTCGCGCGGAGAAAAGTTGATGGATGATGGAGGCATGTCTGGATAACCCAGGGTTTTTGAGACGTTCCCCTGGGTGGGTATTCACGGATGAGGGTTGACTTGGGGTGAAGAAAAAGCCGCCATAACTTCGCAGTGGTACTTGCAAATGAAATCCGAGGCATGAGTGCTCCTCTTGTAAATTGAGTCATCTTATCTGTACTTTTCTTTGATATTGTGTCATAGCTAGATAGCTGCATACGCAATTAAAATCTGATGCAAAAAAAAAAAAAATCTAGATAGTATCAGTAAGAGAAATGGCAGCCATGAATTAATTGACACTTTTTACTTTTACTTCATACATTATTCAATTGACTCGTAGAGTCTAACACCCCATTAGCTGCAGCTGTAGCACTGCTTTGGCTAGGCCCGCAGTGAAGAGCATGGCGTTAATGACAAGGCCCTTTCGAACCACCCTCGTTTGCAATGCCTCCGATGGGAGGCTGCCCACTACTAATCCACGAGTGCGGCTGTTTTTCTTGGTCGCTCCATCTCCTTTCCCTCGCGTATCCATTTTATTCTATCCATCTTTAGACCTGGAATTCGTACTGCTGTAGACGATTCTATCTCCCGTATCAATGTTATGTTGTTGGTATATTTACCTTCTTCAATTTTCGTCCTCAACGGGACTCTGTAGACCTCCACTAGAAAGTCTTGGCTTGGGACCTGGAATTCCTCTTGTTCTGCCATATTGAGAGCCACGTCTCTCTGGATCGCCGACTGAACAAACACGTCGGTGTCATTGCTCCGCATCTATCGCACTACGTGTGCCCCTGGTATTTGTTTCGTGCCTTTGTAAGCAGCTGTGCTGGCTGCATGTCTTTCGCACTCTCGACGCGTATTCTGACCGCTGTTTTCGCCTTTGGCCGCGCTGTTACCGACGCTTATGTCCTTGCAGCCTGCGGCCCAGAAATTGTTGGAGCCTCGGTTAACTATTACAGTCAAACCCCTGTTAAGACGATCCTCGTTAAGACGATATTGCCGTTAAGACGATATTTTTTCCAAAACAGAATTCGTTCTCATACATTTACCGATTACATGATTATCGTTCTTCAACCTCTGCATATCGTCTTAACCAGGATTTTTTTGTCAGATTGGTGCTAAAAATGCCGCCACCAAAGGGAATTTCTGTTGAGCAACGATATTCTCTGTATGACGATTTTTTATCACGGCCTCGATTACGTCATATTAACAGGGATCTAACTGTATATGGGTTAGGTAATCAAATCCTTTAAAACAATATCCCCTATAAGAGGATATTTTTCACGGCCCCGATTACATTGTCTTAACAGGGGTTTGACTGTATGTAACTAGAACTAAGAACTTCAAATTTCATTAAATGACAACCTTTTCGACAACATTTCCATCTTTCACATACATTTCCATATCTCCCATAATTAGTGCTATCCATTCAAATCCATGATACCAAATGTATAATACCATATGCACCTGCACCTGCAACTTTCAATAATTGGGTCACTCTTAAGAGACAGCACGTAGCTCGTGCGGAGGACGGCTTCGTTTTCTTGGCTATTGTCCCCGATGATTTTGTAGTATTATGAGATGATAAGCTGTACTTATGGTATTGTGATAGTCTGCTAGACCGGGTGCTTTAGTTTGTCACAGTTGGAGTGTGTATTCTAGAATGCTGTAGTGGCTAGTTACAGATGCGAATGCAAATTTGTTGGAAAACCGGTATGGGTTCGATGAGTAAGGCGGCTCAAAGAATATGGGCGCGATTTTATGAATAGAATAATAATGATATGAATCGGGAGAATATGTGATAAACTGTGGAGAAATAAAAGATGGTCTGAATAAATTGAATTGATTTAGATTCTCTGTCTTAGTGATTCTTAGACAGCTTATATACATGTAATCTTGATAGACCAAATCCAGACTAGATACCATCCATTACTCGTTCCATACTCTAACAATGACAATGAAACGCACGACAGTATACAATATGAGTATGGGTTCAGGGTCGGTGGATGAAAGCCTACACGTGTATCAGACCATACCATGCACTAGTCGAGTCTCAAGCATCAAACATGCTCAGTAAGGGAGATATCAATCATCTAGGTCGTGAGTCATGTGTGAGAATCTTAGTTGTTCCAATCATGGGAAACTTCAGACACATAGAGTCTGAATTTCCAACAAAATTCAAAATTGAGAATTAGGCGAAAGTTTGGCACTTCTATGGGTCTCGATAGTATCGAGGTTAATTTAATTATTGATGATAATATCACTGTTGTGTCCATATACGGGGAATGTGTTACAGTTCTATGTGTGCCTGTAATCGCTTGGAGGACGAAGGCTGAACACCTGTCAGTGTTGACCTCTACTGACCAGGCGGTGAAATATTCCCCCAGAGCCGAGATTCAGTCACCACATAGAGTGAATTTGAGAGTTTTTGTCTAGTTGGCGATCGGGAGGAGTGGTGTTGGCTCATTTTTAGTCGAAAATCCGACTTGCAGAGATTTCACGACTGCACAACTCGACAAAATCAACCATCTACACCCCAGATACGAACTGCAGACAGCCTATAACCTGTCTGGTGTTCGTATTACAACAACCTACACCTTTAAGATCTTGTTTTCTTTTCTCTGGAAATTCATTCTCAGCCAAAATCATCTCGCGGCCCTCTCCACAATCATCTCATCAGCCACCGAAGCAATCCCTTACCTTCAAATGTCAAATCGCCATCAAAGAGTCAAGAGGACGTCCAACCCTCCGCAACTGCCAGTCGCTGTGAAGGTACGGTCGAAATACCGGCCTTAAATGCGTCCTCACCTCGGCCAAGGGCACCAACAACTCTACCTGCGACTAATCGCCACCGATGAAATACGTACGACATTTCGCCGGCACACCAACTAGAGCATTCGACAAAGGCTGGGGCGCCGGTGCCTCGGTCTTGAGCTCTCAGTCGCGCTTTCGACCTCCACGGACAGGGGTATGACAGCGACAGGGCAAGGCCTGAGGGGTGGAAATTCTACAAAGTTTCTAGGATGACGAGGCTGGCTAAAGGACAGAGGGATGCTGCATGAAGGAACAAAAG